TTACTTATGACAGTAAAGCTACTTCACCAGGTGGCTGGGGCCACGAAGGATCCTTTTACTTTCTCTGTTATGACAGTGATGTTTTATTAGATCAGCAGGACTGAAGTCCAAACTGCAATCAATATATCAGCCGAGAAAACTGCTGATATAAGCTGTCAAAACACTAAGCTATGGCCTATGCTGCTATTTTTAAGCCGGGCCACTGAGCGGGATTTTGGTAAACCTTTCCTTGCCCTCTCAACTGTAACTGGTGGAGGCTTGCCTGTCTGCCAAGCACAGCGCTGCCCAGCACTAATTCTTTGGAACGGGTTGTATATTAATACACACACGGGCTGGGGCACATTCAAGAGCTTCAGAACAGGTTCTGGAAACAGCTAGGTCTATTCAAAGCCTCCTGACAACAGAGGGCTAGTTTAAAGAGACAGAAGCGCATTTCTTCTCCTCCTGTCCATAGTAGATGCTGCCCTAATGCTGTGAACATATTAGTGTTTCCCTGCCTCTTTGGGCCCCTGACAAACTGGCTGCAGAGCTTCCCAGCCAGCTCTTCATGGAAAGGCCTGGATAAACACTGGCACTCGGCTTCTGATGGGTAAACCCACCAACTGGAAGGATTAAAAGATTTCCTTCAAAACCACTCCTTTCGGGGCATGTTGGGGGAGTAAGTACTCAGAAAAACACACTGCGTTCCCTTGGGTTGGCTTGCTCTGTTCCTACTCTGGCACCCAATACAAGCTGAAGAACCTACCTTGGTCCTCAAGCATAAACAGTGATTCCCTTGCAATTTTCTAATAACTCAGTGCCTCCTATTTCACCAGCTGCTCGCAGGTGAGGTAAAACACACATCCCACACTGGCTCCCTGAACACTCCATGTGATTTATGCATCGATTGATTAAGGTACAGAAACCAGGGAGCCCGTCTTGTGCTTCAGCACTGTGACAAGTACCTAAAATGACAGTTTACAAACAGTGAGGAATGACTCTGTTCCTTCATTCTCATTCATGACTCGTCCAGTTCTGAGGGGATCTGGTGCTGACTTTGATGATGTCAAGTAAATGTGTTTTTTGTTTTTCTTTAATCCTCACCTGAGCACATGCTTAGAGAGAGGAAGGGAGAGAGAGAAACACGCGTGTGAGAGAGAAACATCAACTGATTGCCTTTCATACGCTCTCTGACTGGGGATCAAACCCTCAATCCAGGTATGTGCCCTGACCAGGAATCAAACCAGCAACCTTTCCGTGCACATGACCAACTGAGCCACTCTGACCAAGCGGTGCCACGTAAATTTTTACATCATTAGATAATTTCAAATCTAATCTTTAAACCTCCTTTAAAATGAACCAAATTGAAGGGCAGGAAATTATCTTCAAAGGCAGGTTGCTTATGTGTGTTCCCTGAGCACTTAGAATAGCAAAATTTAGAGCAACCTCTGTCCAACAGAAGGGCTTGGCTACATTAATGATGGCACATCTGTACAATGGAAAACTATGCAGCCATTAAAAATGAAGCTGCACAGCCTGGCCAGAGTGGCTCAGTGGTTGAGCATCGACCTATGAATCAGGAGGTCATGGGTTGATTCCCGGTCAGGGCACATGCCTGGGTCTCGGGCTCGATCCCTGGTAAGGGGTGTGTAGGAGGCACTTGATCAGTGATTCTCTCTCATCATTGATGTTTCTATTTTTCTCTTCCTCTTTGAAATCAGTACAACTATATATTTTTTTTAAAAAATGAAGATTTTTAAAATGTCTCAGGACATAGAAGAAGTGCATCAAACATTGTTCCCTGAACAAAAATTTCAGGTTTCTAAAAGTTTTCACTGAACTGCAACATATTCATTGAAAAGGATCAGGATACCATTTCTGGGAGAGTGGGTTTAAGGATGTTTCTGTTAATTTTTGCTTGTAATTTTCTGCTATGTCTCTAAGGAGCATATACTGCTCGAGTAATGAGAAAAAAAATCAAAAGAACTTGACTAAGGTTGGGGAAAGGACAAAGAAAGGAATACTACTTGGGTTTAACTCTCAGCTATTATTACCAATGCTGTGAATAAAGAAGAGGGAAAGTGAGAATCCCATTAAAGTCTGCTATTTCATTTACGCATTTATAACACTTCTTCATTCTATTAAATCACACACACACAATGTCATGGGGATGTAATGAACAGCATAGGGAATATAATATTGTTAAAATGCCAGTATAAATGTAGCTACCACTAATAGACTACACTTAAAATGGCTAAGATGGTCAATTTTATGTTATACAAACTGTACCATAGTTAAAAATTAGAAATTTTAAAAATTAAATACACACACACCCTTTCCCTTTATGTCACTGCCCATTTTTAAGCTTCCATCCTATCTCATTTCTTGATATCACACTTTTTAAATAAAATGTCTTCTTTCTTATTCCTACCTCCTTTTATTCTCATATGTAGATAACCACTTTCAATAGTTTCTACTTTTTTATTCGAATGTGTTTTTCTAAAATATATAATGTTCTTATTTGAGTATGCATTTTTATGTAAGTGACAGGATCACATTTACTTACTAAGCATTATGTTTTTAAGGTCCGTCCATTTTAATATGTACACAGGGTGGAGCAAAAGTAGGTTTATAGTTGTGAGTCTACAAAACACAGAGTTTATTCTTGTATTATTATTTATTAACTAGAGGCCCAGTACATGACAGTCGTGCACTGGGGAGGGGATCCCCCAGCCTGGCCTGCACCCTCTCGCAGTCCAGGACCCCTTGGGGGATGTTCGACTGCTGGTTTAGGACATCCCCTGAGGTATCCTTAGCACTGCTGTGGAGGTGGGAGAAGCTCCTGCCACCACTGCTGTGCTTGCCAGCTGTGAACCCTGCTTCTGGCTGAGCAGCGCTCCCCCGTGGGAATGCACTGAAACCAGGGGGCAGCTCCTGCATTGAGCATCTGCCCCCTGGTGGTTGGTGATGTCTTAGCAAACTGTCATTCTGCTGTTTGGTCAATTTGCATATTAGCCTTTTATTATATAGGATTATTGTATTATTTTCCATACAAACAACTGTAAACCTACTTTTGCCCTGCCCTGTATAAATAATCTATTGCTGCTGATGCTGCATAATATTCTTTGGAGTGCATTCTCCCAATTATACCTAATGTACTCTCCCAGCAAAGGCCACTCCGATTATCTTCATTTCTCCCTCCCCTACACAAGGCTACAAAGGAACATGCTGGTGCACATTCCCTAATGGGCCTAGGGAGGATCCCTTGCTATGTTTCCAGCCACAGAACTGCTGGTCCATAGGGTGTGCCTAAGGAGTTACTTAGCCAAAGCTACTCCACAGAATGGCTTCACCAGTCTACCCACCCACTGGCAGTATATAAGAGTTACTGTGTCCCACATCCACACAAACGCTTAACATTATCCAACTTCCTAATATTTGTCAGTCTAATAATACAAAGATTCTTCATCCTTTAAAAGTTTTGTACTTCTCTGACTCCTTGTGATTTTAAGCATCTTAGCTGCTGAAGTTTATTTATACTTAAAAAAAAAAATGTTTTCCTCACCCAAGGATATACTTTTTTAAAACTGATTTTAGAGAGAGGAAGGGAGAGAGAGGGAGAAAGAAAGAGAGAGTGAGAGTCATCACCAGGTTGCCTCCAGTTCAGGTCCAAATTGGAGATCGAAGCTGTAACCCAGGTCTGTGTCCTAACCAGAAATTGAACCTGCCATTCTTCAATGCATGGAATGGTGCTCCAACCAACTGAGCCACACTTATTTTTACTTCCTAAAAGAATAGTCAAGGAATGTGGTTTTTAAAGCTGGGGGGCCTTAAAATGCTGATTCCTGGGCCACATACAAGACCAATTAACTCAGAATATCTGGAGCTGTGACCCAAGAAACTATGCTTTAAAAAACACACACACAAAAGAAACTTCACATATAATTTCATTTATATGTGGAATCAAAAACCTCAAATAAACAAATAAACAAAACAGAAACAAACTCATAGGTGGGAAAAACAAATTGATGGTGGCCAGATGGGAAGGAGGTTGGAGAGATGGTTGAAAAAGTGAAGGGATTAAGAAGTACAAATTGGAAATTACAAAACATTCACAGGGATGTAGAATACAGCATAAGGAATACAGTCAGTAATCTACACTAATAAAAGAGAAACATGCAAATTGGTGTCACTCCGCTACACCCACCAATCAGGAAGAGTATGCAAATTAACCCAACAAAGACGGCAGTTAATTTGCATACACAGGTGCAGAGCGAAGACTGAAGATGACTGAAGATGGCGGCGGCCATGGAGCTGGAGCAAGCAGGAGGCTTGGGTTGCTCCCGGCAATGGAGGAAGCCAAGTTTCCATCCGGCCCTGGGCTCCACTTAAGGAGGGGTTGGGGGCCTGGGACACCAGGGGCGACCCAGGCTTCCAGCCAGTCCTGGCCTCTGCTCAAGGAGGAGCTGGAAAAAAAAAAAGGAGGAGCTGGGAGTAGCCAGAGTAGA